TTGCCCAAACTCTTGCAGTTAGTCTCAGTGCGGTTATTCGGGCTACCAGACCACACACATGCCGCCGGCCGCCCAGCACCTGCAGGGAGAGCTATAAGGGAGGGAGGCAGTGAAACTCACTCTCAGGACTGTACAACATCCCCGGGGAGAGAGGCAGAGTTTTAACCCTCACCCAGAACAGCTTACGTTTCTCCACGAATCAGATTTAGTTAGACAGCAGTAATGTGTAACACCTGGAGTTATTGTTATTATCAATTAGTTTAGAGTGTAATAACAGTAATTACAATTAACATGTATGCTTTAGAGAAACATTCTGTGTAGGACAGTGAGTGAGAGTTAGAATGAAGAACTATATTGTATTTTAATGATGGTGCTATATTGACGTTACCATTTGTTGAGCCTTAGGACAAAAAAAAAAACATTTATTCTTACTAATCTTACGTAATTCAGTACAATGATTAGTAAATTAATAGTTGCCATTGAAATCACTGTACCGACATGTTTGATTGATTGATTGAAATAGACATGTCGTAATGGTCGCACAGTTAATTATTGGTATTTGGTAATTCTTAGGAACTTATGAGTATATGTCATAATAATTTTCAATGGGATCAAAATAAGGTTTCACAAATATTTTAATATTCAGGCGGTAGATATCTTTTAAGAGGTCTGGGTTTGAGAGGAGTGCATGGTGGTGGTCTCAGTGGGTCTGGGTATCACAAGTTGTACGTCTGTTTGGTCCGGAATTTTAATTTATAATCATGGTAATGTAAATCCATTGGTAGTTAGTACGTACAGTACAGTATATACCCATACTAGTTGGTAAATATTTCCGCTATTTTTTTTTTTTAATAACACTAAGCCTCCAGCCATCCATTAACTTGAAAATAGTCATAGTTGTATAAACACGACCAAAAGAATATCCTATTTGAAGTTTAGCCACTCAAGCGCTACCTGGGCGGGCAAGTCCTTAGATGATTCATAAATGTTAAAATTGCGAAGGATCTTGATCTCGACTTTTAAAAATCTCGATCTCGACCTTAGCCTAATTCTCTGGTAACACATAAGTAAACACACTAGAGCTATAGCCACAGTCAGGTAATAAAAATAATCTTTTTTGGGGTTACATATAATATAAAATTGATAACGATTAGGTAAAAAAATGTTACTCTCATATTTTAAGTAAATTTACTTTTTCTACCAACTGTCACCTTGTCAGTCTAAGATATCTGTTTTCAAATAGGGATTCAATTTTTGTTTTGTAAAGAAAAAATACTTATACGTTATTTAGTATTTCCTGATGAGCCCTTTAGTTTTAGGTTACATTAAAACATATATAGAAAACAATTTGAGGATTATATTTGATATATTCTAATAGAACTTTATCTTTGTATATTAATCTTGGTAACACGTACAGATGTTTCATGGTAGTGATAATTTTAGTCGAAGTAAAATATCACGTGAAACAGCATCTATTAAGCGATTACTCCACAACACAGATTTATCTCTAAACGGTCATTATTCCTTTATCAAACTGGTGTTTTATTATGGGTACGGGTTTACTCCACCCACTAGTTAACGAGGGCATAATAAGGTTAAAAACCTATAGAAGCTCGCCTGATGCTCAGTACATTTCCCGTGTTGTTGTAGCTAATGGTAATAATTTAACAAGATAAAGTCACTTAAGTCCGATGACCTGAATTAATCCAAATTTAAGTGTATTTCAAATGGGAAATAATATCAGGCATCCTTAACCATGGAAATTAGAAGCTGTTTTGATGAGTAGTCCAGACCAGGTGTGTCCGTCACTGATGGCCTTATAGGTGATGGGAGGTTCGCCCACATACACATCAGTCAAAATGAAACTCACTGCGTGTACCGGATAGTTCCTCTCCATAATGATTTTTTTTAAGTATGTGTTAGTAATCGCGAAGTTAGTCTCATCATGTATACTTCCCATCTGTATTATTTTAAACTGGTTTATAGCCTGTGTCGGTGTCTACACTATCACTCTACTTCTCTACCAGAGCTTCTCAACTGGGGAACCACAAAGTATTTTCTAGAGGGTCGACGGATTGAAAACATAGATGGTCGTGGAGATGCCACGCGTTATAAAACAATTACTAAATACTTCTTCTTAATAAAGTTGATACAATTCTGAGAGAGTATTTCACTTCCTCATTCACCGACTTATTAAATTACTGTTTGGTTATAATGGAATCATTTTATTGATAAAGTAAATATATTCTTCATTGCTCTGCTTATTGTATTAGTATAAGAATAAATAAGTGACAAAGATATACAAGAGGAGTGAATTATTCATTATAAAATAGCTTTTATACATTAACCAATACTGTATATTAAGAGAAGTGAAGCTCTAATATGTAAGCACCTTACAAACTGTATATAACAGAGACACCGTGACCTTACGGGGGGACTGACCATCAGGTTCTGCTGGTTCTGGGTACAAGTCTGAACAAATTTTCCGATGTCTGTTTGTTTAAGTTAAATTTCCCCCCAAAAATAATACTTTAACAAATCTCTTTTAACTTACAGAATCCAACATTTCAGGTTTAATTATAAATCAGATCATAATATCAGTGTTTACATATACACAAGAGTTGAGGCGTTTTCTTGTGTTGATGACAGCAGCACAATCTCGGGTGCCAGTGACGTCGGCCTATGGTAAATTCGGCCAAGTAACCTCGGCCAGCATCCAGTGGTAACCTCGGCCCACATCCAGTGATAACCTTGGGTCACATCTAGTGGTAACCTCGGCCCACATTCAGTGGTGACCTCAGCCCATTTTAGTGATTTCGTCCCATCATAATATTGGCCGAGATCACCATCAATAATTTTCTTTGGTAATAGTTAAGCCATATGAAAAGTACCCAATGGTTAGGTTAGGTTAGGTAAAAAGTTTAAAAGTAGTGAAATTAAAGATAAAGATCAAGTACACACGCACACTAATTGATCACCATGGAGTGGTATAAGGAGCTCTGGTGCACCTGAAAGGGGTGACATAACGAGGCTATTGTAAGGCTGGCAGATAAGGTCAAATATTATACCTTTCTATTTACATGTATAAGAAACTATGATGAAAATATTTGCCTAGATAACGGTGGACATCCCTCAAGTGCCAAAAAACAAATATTACAATTCTTAGAGAGTGACATCCCGATCACCCATGAAACTCTTACATCACGAATATACATAAATTTATTGAAACATACTCGTTGGTTTTTGAGATAACTTGATGAAATTTATCAATACATAGAGAACTTTATACATACGGTACGGATACGTGAATAAAAACATGCATGTAAAGGTAATCATATACATACCTGCCTACTGAGATACTGTACTGATCCTAGGAGCTTTTATACTCGACATTTCAGATTTTTCTTGTTGTTATATAAAGACCAACGGCGTGTGTATTCGGGAAGTATTGTAACAGGGAAAAAATATATATTTAAAAAAAAAAGGGGGGGAAAGGTAGTGAAACCTGGCGTGTGGTAACCGCAGAGTTTTACCCCACCACCGCCGGTAATTGATGATACACAACTGCTGGTCTAATGTGTTGTTGCTTTTTACAATCTTTACCCTTGGGTGATGTTCCTTAACTCGTATAATGGTATGTGTTATATACTTTATTATTGCAGCTCTGAGTTTTGATATTTTTAGAATAAAAAGTAGTAATTCACCTCATAATTATCAGCTCAATGAGGTATTACAGGAAGTGGATGTATTTTCTATGTAATGTTATGTATAATATCTTAGTAATGAATGTCATAAATAAAAGACCAGATAATGTTGTTAACAAAGGGGTCGTCAACTTGTGCTAAGGGGGAGGACGTCTCTTGATTATGCTGTCGAGGCTGTTAGGTAAAACTAGACTCGGGAGCAAGGTGTTGTGGGAGTATATTTTAGAATCAGCTCTTCTCTATCAGCTTAACATAATTATTACAACACCTGAATATCACTGGGCGAGTTTGTAGTCGAATCGTCTACTGCTTCAGTATTAGTGATATAATTTTTCAATTAATTTACATATCTTTTGTATAAATAGATTTATATTTTAATAATATACAAAATGATACTAATACGAAAAATTTTCTTTTTTTTTTTGCTCTCGGAACAGAATTTAATGTGTAGGCAAATATTACTCGTGTAAATCGCCACGTGTCTAAGACCCATCAAGATGCTACACACATGATGGATCAGTTAATACTTGAGAGAGTAAGAAGAGGCGACACATAACACAACAAAGAGGCAAAATCTTTCTGAGAGAACTATTAGGAACAAAATTAAGCTGTAATAAAGTTTTTTCAGACTTTATTCATCTTACTGCTAACGGCTTCTTTCCGGCACGCGAGACCCGGGCTCACCTCAATAAAAAAAAACCTTTATATGGCAACCGCATGCCGCCTTGGCGGCAGCGGGTGGAAGGATTGTTTCCCGTTCTGTTGTTAAATAATTAGCCATGCGGCCAGACGTGGTGTGACTCCTTTACCATCATTAATATTTTATATATTTTTTCGAGTTTTGCAGTTTCGCAAAGAATTTATCGGTTAGAAAAATCCAAGTTCAGCTATATGAATGTTTAAATTTAATTAAAAGAAAAACAAATATTACACCAAGATCTGTAATAATTATCTGGCTATCAGAGATTGCATTAAAAACATTATATCAAAAGTCAACCTCTTTTAGATCACTAGGTCATGATATGGCACATTAACTTAAAAGGTGTCTTAACTTTCATGGAAGGGAACATGGCTTTTTTGCTCAGTGTCCCATAAATGTCACATGTATATCCGTTCTCTCTAATCATTGTTCCTCTGGTGGTGAATGTGTGAAGTGTGAACCAGCAAAGTAAACATAGCAAGAGGGAGAATCGCTGACCACGTGCAAGTAAGTTATTATTTACTGTCCAAATTATCAGCTGTCATAGTGTTTGTCATGCTTACCCATAAATTTATCGATGTTCCTAAGACACTGCTGAATCTGTATACTCCTGTGCACAAGGAAAATTTGGCGCAACTTACCTTAGCAAGGCGATTTAAATTTTGCCCCTAAAATGTGACCTTTTTTAAGCTGAATAATGGATCTCACCCCGCTTAAGTGAGTAAAGCAAACCTTTGCTGAAAATTTTATGAACTTGTTGGTAGTGAGTATATTTATGGAGCGTGACATATCTGGCACACTGGTCAGAAGGTCCAAAAGAGGTTAATGAAGCCTGTTCTTCAGCATACTGTATGTGCCATAAACATAAGTTATTATTAAAGCTAAGGGAAATGTATTATTAATATTCAGGATTATGAAGTGTTATCTGCACGTGATCAGATAGCATGCATGCCTTTCTCGTTGATTTGCATTGTGTAGGCATGCCTATAATTGTACCAATTTATTTTATTTTTTATTTTTTTTATTATCCACCAACTGATTTTCATAAACCTTGGTATATGTATGCAGAGAGTGATTGTGAAGAGAATGTCTGAGTCCACAAGTCTCTGTCCACATTTTTACACCCCATGAACCGGTTTTGGTTATATTTACTTTTAACACCAACAGCTATTTCATGTTTTTCGTGTGGTTATATAGTAGAATACATTAATACAAGACTATTTTCTTTTGTAACACTTTTGGCCAAAATGTATAATAACCGAGATATTATTTTTTTTATAATAATGCTTCATAAAATAATAACTCAGGTATTGTGCATTTTGGCCAAAGGTGTTATAGAAGAAAATAATCTTGTATTAAGCATTCTACTATAATACTATGTGAATACAGAATATATATATACAGATTTATTTCTTTATTTATATTTTTCAATAATTTATAAATTAATGTCTCGGTTATTATGCATTTCTACCAAAAGTGTTACAAAAGAAAATAGTTTTGTATTAACGCATTCTACTATATAACCACACAAAAATCATGAAATAGCTGTTGGTGTTAAAAGTAAGTATAACTTAAAGTTGGAAAGTGTGCGAAGAGAGCAATTATTTTTTTACACATCATATGATTGCTTTCTACCCCTTATTTACAGATTGTACAGAATGTCACGACCACCAGCCAAGAAACGATGTCATACAAATGAAGAGGATATTAGAGAATTTAGAGAATACTGGACTGAAAAATTTGGCATGATTAAGAAAGATAATAAAGCATTATGCATTTTATGTTCTGAATCAGTTGTTTGTAGGACTTCTTCTGTGAAGAGACATTTTGAAACTGTTCATAAAAACTTAAGTAATGTAACTGAGCAAGAACGAAGAGAATTAATTTCTCGTGAAATGATTAAGACAAAAAAACAGTCTGATGTTTTGATGAAATTTATTTCAGGTAGGCCAAGTTCCAACTTAGTTGCTGCTGGTTTTGAGGTTTCAAAAGTTATTGCCCAACATGGAAAGCCACTCAGTGATGGGGAGTATATTAAAGAAGCATGGCTAGAATGTGCTCCTTTCCTTTTTGATAACCTTTCAGAAAAGGACAAGATTATTCAGCGCATTAAAGATTTGTCTGTGAGTAGAAAAACAGTTTAGGATAGGATACTTAAGATGGAAATGAATACAACTGACCAATTAACAAAGGATTTAGCTTCATGTAAGTTCTTTTCTATTTGTGTTGATGAAAGCACAGATATTACATCATCAGCTAGGCTAGCAATTTTTTCTCGATTTTGTAGGGATGATGAGGTATGCGAAGAGATGATTAACCTTGTAACACTACCTGAGCGTACCACTGGGGCTGACATATGTAAAGCAGTTGTGAACGAATTATCTATTCGACAAATTGACATTTCAAAAGTAGTATCCGTCACAACAGATGGTGCACCCAGTATGATTGGTAAGGAAGCAGGATTTGTAAATCTGTTTGCAAAACATGTTGGTCATCCGCTGATAGGTTTTCATTGCATCATACATGAGGAGGCTTTATGTGCTAAAGCTGGTCTAAGGGAACTTCAAGAAGTGATGCAAACAGTCACCAAGGTTGTTAATTACATTTCTGCACGTGCCTTAAATAAAAGACAATTTCGGAATTTATTGAATGAAGTGGATTCGGTGTACAAAGGACTAACAATGTACAACAATGTTCGTTGGCTTAGTCGAGGATTTGTTTTGAAACGATTTGTTGAATGCATGGATGAGATAAATCTCTTTCTGATTAACCAACAAATGTCTTATAAAGAAATGTCTGACATCGTGTGGGTTTGTAAACTAATGTTTTTTGCAGATTTATGTGAACATTTAAATGACTTAAATGTTAAATTACAAGGCTCTGGTAAGACACTTGATGTTATGTTTGATTACATAAAGGCATTTGAAATGAAACTAGGAGTTTTTAAGAGGGATGTAGATAGTGAAAGATTTAGATACTTTCCAAACCTAAAGAAATACATCAATGATCTCACAAAGGATGACAAAACAGACTGCCAGTGTCTTCAGAAGCTATTTGTAAACATCATTGAGTCAACTGTTGAGCAGTTCTCAACAAGATTTGCTAGGTTCAGAGAATTAGAAGAGACTGCAAAATTCATTAAGTTTCCAGACAGTATAAAACTGGATGAACTAAACTTGCAGAAGTTTTCATGGATAGATATGGATGATTTTGAAATGCAATTGATTGAATTTCAAACTAGCTCAATTTGGAGGCAGAAATTTGTTGAGCTTAGAGCTGACTTGGAAAGTATTGAAAAGGATCGATTAGAGAAGGGAGTAAGAGAGAGAAATGCCGAAAACGAGGTACTGAGGACTTGGAATACTATTCCAGAAACTTTTGTCTGTTTAAAAAAACTTGCAACAACATTACTATCCATTTTTTCATCTACATATTCTTGTGAATCATTGTTCTCAGTGATGAACTCTGTTAAGTCTCATAATAGAAGTAGCCTTACTGATGAAACTAGTACCGCATGTATATCTCTCAAGGTTACAAAATATAAACCGGATATAAATTATCTATCATCAGGGATGCAGCAGCAGAAGTCTCATTGATTCTAAATAAAGAAAAGGTTCACAATTATTCGTTCTCTAATTTTCATTTGATGTATTCTGTTAAAAATATTAAGGATTCGCTTTTGTTTAATATAATACAGTGTGTATTGTTGTAGGTAAAATAACTTTTATATTTTCTCTGTGGTTTTTATGCATCATTCATAAAGGATTAAGAATCAATAAAAGAATATCTTTAGTTTTATATCCTTTTATTGTGTTTTAGTCGAGTAAATCGATATTGAGCTTGGTATTGTAATGTACTGAAAAAAGTTTACAAAAACTAATGGCTGAATGATCTGATAAACAAATCAAAAATATTGTTTACTCTTTTGCTGATGCTAAAAATAACGTCTTTAAATTGTGTGGATGTATATGACAACTAGATTTACACTGAAATGCTAATATAAAACATCCACGCTAACAACAGGGAAGAACAACCACTAAGTAAAAATTCTGTCACTAATTTTTACATTCATTCAATATGCCATGATTTATAAAATCACTCTTACAAAACTCTCTGATTTTACCACCCCGGTGTGATTTCTGATTATTTGAAAAGGTTCTCCCATTACGTAAAAGATACCAAATAATATGTGACCCGGAAATTTTGGTTGGCACGAGAGAAAATTTTGTATCAAAGATTTGGTCGATTTTGGCACACACACTCAAAAAGGTTGCCCACCCCTGTTCTAGATAATTAAATTATAAGTTGAAATGGAAAGCAACAAGGAAATATTGTTAAGCAGAAGAGACAAAAATATATCCACTATGAAATTTAAGGCAAATTACAAAATACATTTTACAGTCCAACAAAAAATTTAAAGAACTCTTTTGACGTCATGTAAATTGTTTTATGAATATCCAAAATTTTATGTCGTATGTAATTTACATTTTATTTGTGGGTTGGCTATCGTGTTGCTATCAACTGATAATAGAATTTAGAGCACGTCATCATTTATTTGATCAGTATATAGTTGATTCACTTATTATTATTTTTCCTGAATATACATATATAATCAATCTTTTGTTTCGTTTTCTGTAAATTTAAATACCAACAAATCTTTCTCATCCCAGGTTGATATTCTCAACACCACATCTAGTGAGGACACACTCGCCGCCACTCACTGATTTAGTACCTCGTTTGGGTGCAAGTTTACCGATGTGTTTTTATTGAGAATGTTACTCATGAAGATATGAGTTTATTTTCCTTATAAGATAACTCTTCTTTGTCAATGTTTTATATTTAGATAAATTTGGTTATCGACTATGTAGAAGCAATTCGGGACTAATATGAGAGACGCTCCTGCAATATCGGTTACAATGATATACGGCGACCATTACAATACAGGACGGTGGCAGTGAGTGAGACGAATTTGCTGGACGGAATAAGAGGGTGAAAGATAGTGTAGTGTACAGTACATGGGAGGAGAGAGGTAGAAATACTGAGAGAGAGAGATGCTGTTATTAGGTATAGACAAGAGAAGAGGGATAGAACAAACTTCAATGTTTTGGTCAGATAGGGAGACATGTGATAATATATGAATCAATTTGCTTACGATCATTATGGAATAGGTTAAAGATAGACTAAATCGAGACCAGAATAACTGTTGGGTAAGTTTGAACGAAGAATATGAAACAAAACACAAAAACAAGCTCTTTGATTAATCGAGCTGAAATGTGTTGTTCAGCGAGAGAGGTAATACTTTGTCGGTGCTGGTGATCTGAATACAAGGGTGTGGGTGGAGGAAATGGTAGTGGTGGTGTGGGCAGTTGAGGTATAAAGAACGGAAATGTATTTGAGGTTTCCTCTTTGTACATAATGTATTATAGTACTACACACAGGGAGAAGGGCTCTGAAACTGTCGTGGTTTAGCAAGTTTGTTCTGGAAGTAGAGCAAATAACATAAAACTGATAGAAGGATTATTCAATAGTTGTTTACATCACTACTCTGCTGCAAGTTACAGTTAGTATATGATAGAGATTCAGGAGGTGAAGTCAGTTCGAGAGGTCCAGGTTGGAAAAGTTGGATAGCGATTATATTCGGTTTACTTCCAGGATATGTACTGTCAATATCATTTGTGTACTATAAACACCTTTTAACAAATAGAAAGTGTAGGGAGAGATTACACAGGCATCGTTTTCAAGGCGACCCATCACCAAAGAGTGAAGATACATTTGCAACAAGATGTTTTAAACTCCAGGAAGCTGTGACATAGGAAAAACATTGTGAAATGGAGAGTTCCAAGAAGTGCTGTTCCGGGATATGAATATCGGATATTGAGAGATACGGTAAATGCCGATAGATGGTGCAAGATGCTGGCACTATCGACGGTACTTCGTCAACACAGCGACTTTGGAAATATATACTGTATAGACTAGAGAGAATAGGGAGATGTCACTGTAGTACCGGAAGTGTTAGGGTAAGGTTATAATTGTGGATTAATTTGATTGCTCTCCTCTGCTCTGCACCAAGTAGTGGTGACAAAGTGCCACGACACCACATCCTGCCCACATATGACAGCAGTAATTAATCTGGGTGAGCATCTGTTTCACGTAAACGCTTGCCAACTGTTTACCGGTTGAATAAGACATAAAATTGGGCCTGATGGATATGCCAAAATCAATGTTGAAATGTACTTTAGTTTAGTTGCGTTGATGGAAACAACGGTGGATTGATCCCACTAGTGACTAAACTATCCAAGCGAGATCCTCCGGAAGAGATGATGTCTGTTGTCTACCACTGAAAACTTTATTTTGAGTGACTGAGGCAGTTAGAAGGGCTGAATCATCTGTATAAGAATGAACTGTTGTTTGTTGTCGGGGGAAAGTGGGCCATATGCAGAGAAAAAATATTAAAGTTACTGGAGCTGTGTCTAGTAAAAGCTGAGGATCTGTATGACATTACACCAAACGGGGCGGACATAGTGGAAGGATTAATACAGCGTCTGATGTTGAGGTGTGAAACATGAGGTTACAATAATAGAATGACAAGACACAAACTAACTTGGAAATAATTATCTTGAGGTTCGGGTGAGGAAGATCAAGAGAAGACAGAGTGAGGACTGTAATATTAAAAGATCATTTGGTAGAGAGATAAATGTCTGAATAAGTAAAGCAGAGATTGTGTTGATGTTTGAAATTATGGAGATAATGGAATAGGATGACTGAATAATTGAGGCAGATAGAAGACAAGTAGATACGAGGAGAGCAGTAGATATCCAGTGTAGTAGGCAGCTGTCAAACAGGGAGGTACTACCGCCTGGGAAGATATTGGAAGCATAATGTGTTGTCTAATGGTAGACCCTGCTGCCATATGGCATCACGAATATTGTGACCAAGTCCCAAGTTGCTGATCTGACTTTTTGCCTCATTTACACACAATTGCAGGGTCTCAATTGTTTCTCTTACTTGATAACACAACATACATATACTGTAGTGTAGCGTTTCCCACTATTGATTTTTTCTTTGTATTTCTTTATTATTATTATTATTATTAGGGTTGTTATTATTATTATTATCATTATTATTTTATTTTACTTTTGATTAA